GGAGCTAGCTACAGTAATCCGAGAGTCTCCTGGAGTGTTTGCTTTGAATGGCTGGTAAATAGAGAAGACAGTAACTTTAAAAAGGATGAGGGAATTACAGACATGTCAGAAAATAGGAATCCCTGAAAAACAGAAACTCCTATTAAATAAAACTACCATTTTTAAAGTACCTGGCAGATGATAACGGTTACACTGGCATTGACAAGAACAAATTGTGCCACACTAGTACAAATCCCTCCTTAGAAAAGGCAACAGACCTAGTGAATTCAGAGATATTATGGTACAAGGTGGTGTTTGGCCACTGGATGCTGACTTCCATTCTCTTCAACAAAAATGGTCTCTGGGTCTGTCCTGTGGGGCTTCTCAAACAGGAGAGAACGAAGCATCAGGCCTTTTGCAAACCTTCCCATAACATGGGCATGAGGGGACTGTCTGCTGCATGAGATGATGCTGAAGTCAAATTTGCTGAGAAGTACTGTTTGAAGTCCACTGTTCTCCTGCTCAGATCTCATGGAAACAGTTAACAACTGAAAACACAGCAAAGGTAATATTAAAGGAGGGCTCCTCAGGAGCCAAGTGATGGCCCTGCACACTACAGCAACTGGGATTTCTGGCCCTAGACCCAACCACCACCCAGCAGACTAGGGCTGAGCTATTATTCTATTTAGCAAAGAACAGAAAGGGTAATAAAGCTAATTAGAATAATGACTTTTATGTTCCTTGTTGCAGGACAGGGAGGAGACTAAGAGATCTCTCATGATGCTGTTCAGCTCACTATGTCCATGATTTATATTTTTTTCCTTCAGTGTTATGGAACCATTTGACTTCCTATAGCAAAGTACCTTCTTTATCATCCATGCCAGCTGAGTAGCGTCAGTGTTCCTCTTAAGTTTGCTTTGGCTCAGGCTACTCTCAGCAATAGACCATAATCAGGCCATCAGTTGAGTTAGAAGAAAGGAAATCTTTGAGGTCCTTAGAAAGCTTTGAAAGCTTGAAGGGTAGTGGAGAAAGACATTATGAAAGCATAAAGGAGAGATTCTGACTATGCGAAGAGAAACATGGAGCTCTAAGATGAAAGGAAGAGAAGTTAAGGGAGAAATGATGATGCTGTGGGAGGAGGCTGCCTTGAGAGACACAAAAATGTCAGAAATGATAGAGAATTTAAGAGGATGGGTAGGGAAAGACAGCCAGCAGACACAGATTCCTGGGGACGGAATATTTTTGGAAACCTTATTTAGCAATTCACGCAATCTTTTCTTCACTTTCCCTCACACGCAGAAACACACGCACATGGTGCACACACAGAACAGTTTTATCCAACCTACTTATGTTAACAGATAAATGCAGCTAATCACACATATGACAATGGTCCCAGAAAATGCTGTAGTTATATTATTTGTCTAATCCAGTTTTGGTCAGTAGATTATCTTAAATATATATCTTAAAGTATCAAACTTTGAAGCTGGTCTCCCTGGGCATACCATATGGTTAAGGGACAGAGAGAAGTTCCTCCAAGAGGAAATGGAGAGCAAGAGTCTGATTTACATGTCCAGATTCATGCTGTGTAGCAGATTTTCTCTCTGGATTACACAGACAGCCTAGGAGCCAGCCTTCTGAATTAGATACCTACAATTAGTGCAAATATGAGCTAAAGTGTTTCAATAGAACAAAGTAACTAACTACTTTCAGAAGTGTTCTTGGAAGTTCAGGTTGTTTTTATGTAAAAAACGTACATGCTAAATAGAAATATTTTAATTAACTTACAGCCTTCCACAGAATTTTTCAAAATTTCACTGCAAAACTGAAACCCCTCCACAAAATATTTTCCAGTTTTCTACAGTCAGAAAATATAATTCCAAAAATCCAGCCAGTCAGATGACAACAAGCCAGTTTGTTTCAGTTTAGGTTGCCAGACACAGGAAGATCTTTTAGCTCTTTATTTTCCTAATGGAAGACATGAAAATGTAATTAAACCCAGATATTTTTACCCAGGATATTTCCATTTTGGCTAAGATTACAGTCCTCATTTAAAAAGCCATTTCAAGTTAAAAAATTCCACTGAAAAGACATTCTGAAGAGATTTATACTGCAGGCAATGGTGTAATATAAATATCTAGACTGGACAGGAGGGAAAGAAGTAGATGCTTTGATTTGGCAATGTAGCTAAACATGAACAAACTCTGACCATATAAACAATTCTGCTGAGAACACACATTGCAGAACATTGTAGTTGTTACACTAGATAATCAAAACATAGGCTTAAATGCCTTTGCATTTGCTGTACTTTGAAACTGCCAGTTCTCATGTTTAAGATGCTCATTTAGCTTCCAGTTGCAGGCTATCTCACCTGGTGGCCAGTTACTCATCTAAGATGCTGAACCTTCTCTAAGACCTGAGAAAAGGACAATCATAGATTCATGCTGTTACTTAGTAACACACTTTCTCAGGACAGACCTATATGCAGAATGAATAAGGAGCCTTCTGTAAAACATGCATTCTTATTTTATTGGATAGACAAACCCAGCTAATGTTTCGAGGGTATTAAGAAGGGAGGTTAATTACTTTGCAATGGGAATTAGTAACCAATTTATTGGTGCAAAAATAATTTTATTGTCAAGAAGATCAATCAAATTAGGATAATTCACATTTTCATCAGTAAAGATGTTTCAGTTTGAATAAAGATGTTTTTGTAGCTAGTAAGAACCTTGTGTGCATATAAAGAAGCAAAGTTTCAGCAATTCTAACTTTAGTTCTGTAATAACAAAAAACTAAATAGCTACTTCATTAAAGATACTCTTTACACAGAAGTTAATGCCATCATTGTGTTCTGCTGTATTTCACATGGACTATGACTAGTGAAGGCAGAATAGCCAGTCTAGATCTGGATTAATCATTAATACAAAAGAGAAGAACATACTTCAGAGCTGGTCTTTGCTATTGTTAATGTCAGCACACAGGCTCGGGGGTGTTGCAGAAAAAGCACATTGTAGTTCTCTCTCTTAACAGGTGCATTCTCATCTATTTATATTGAATATTGTCATATGTCCATCTAATTATGATGGACTCAGGGCTGTATATACATTACAACATGCTAAGGTATCCTGAAGATCCACAAATCAGTCTGAAGGTACTGAGAGCCTTGTGCTTCTCAAAATGAAGTTACGGCCATGGTGCCTACCTACAGAAGTACCTGGACAAACAGCACTCAACACTGCAGCTCTTCGTGTCTGGGTGCTGGGCTCCATAGTAAGATTCCCAGCACTAAACTAGGCAGCCAGGCTGATTATCGGGGGTTAGGGATCTGCCCATAAAAAGGGATTCACAAGAGTCGATTCAATGGACACCATATGCTTCAGATATGGCTCAGAGGATGTGCCAAGGACATCCAGTCAAATCCTATATCTACCCCAAGGCCCATCTGCCTTATTCTGGGCTGTATGAAGTACTTGCCTTGCATGCCACTCCACTCTGAACTCTTCCTTGTCTTAAAGCACTTCAGCATTTTCTTTCATAAAGAGCAGGGCTAAGCCACTCCTGTCTTCCATGGGTTCTACTGCCATTCCAGCTGGTAAAAGGAACAGATGAAACATTTAAAGGGGCCAGGGCCAGTTCCCTTTTCTAGCAAGATTCACATCTCTCTCTCACACATGAGCATACTAGCTGCCAGGCTAGTTCCCCCTGCCACATTGGGATAGATAAATAAAAGAATTGGTTCAGGTACAGGTTAGTCCCACAGCAGACCACAGGGTCTGGTGTAGAGCCCTCTCCTTCCCACCTGTGAGGCAGAACAGGGCTTCCCTTGCTCTCAGATCTCCAAAGGTTGTGGTATGGGGCTTGTATAGTGAAGAATGAAGCTACTCCTGAAACTCTGTCAATCAAAGGTAGAGGTTTGAATAGCAGAGACAAAACCAGGAAAGAAAATCATCCAGGTTGCTCAGTGACTATTAGAAAACACTCTTGAAGGCACCTCAGGTGGGGTGACCAAGGTCACCAATCACATCTGAGACAACCTAAAGAGTTTCACTCATAATAAAAGAATAGGTGAATTAAGCAACCTGAAGACTGGAAAACATGGACAGATACTTCACCATGGCCAGCAGGCTGGCATAAAACAAAAGAAACTTCTTGAAATATTTTTAGGGTGACATACAGAATCTGAAAGTCTTCTGAAATGCAGAATATCACCATAAATTTATCCTGTAAAACAGAAATTGGAAAGAAAATCTGAACACAAAACTTTGACCTCAGACATCACGCTTACAGAAGCAGACCGCCTGATGAAATCTGTGCTTAGGCGGGTTCTTTTTTCATCTGTGTGGCTTTTCTTCAGACACTTCATGGAAGGTAGATCAGACCAACAGGATCAGAAAACTTCTGTCCAGGAAGGTGCCTTCTGAAGAGAGGCCTGCAGGAGGAACAGCACAGATGGAGCCCTCAGAAAGTGGGTGTCTAGATAAGTGCAGTATCTGGGGAGAAAGAGGATGAAGAGCCTAGATACAGCTGGATTCCAAGGTTGGCTGAAATGATACAAAGAGGCATCTCACAGAATAAACAGTGCTAGATACCACTCAGATTGACATAACCATCATTGACTGACATGCCATCAACTCAGAAATATTAGATACACAGAAAAGCTGTGACTTGATGAGTGAAATGATGTCTGATTCTCTTTCTGACGATGCCATACTCCTAGCTCTTCAGTCCCTAAGCCTGCATTTCAGAGAGCAGAAAAACAAAAACTTCTGACTGCAGACAGAAAAGTCTACCACTGCAGCACTGCTTCTTTCCATGCTGGAGGACACATCACAGCTCTGAAAACTAGGTTAACAACTGTGTGCGCTTTTAGCATAAAGCAAGGCTATGCCAAAGGCAAAATAATCAATAGAATTAGTTTCTGTCCTTATAAAAATCTGATAATTCAGTATCAAAGCCTGATTATTCTCTCACAGAATTCAGTAGCAAATCTCTATCTGTTTGGATGAAGTGAGAGCAAACCTCGGGAATTCAGTAAGGCTTATATACTAGTGTGCACTGAACCAGTGAAGTGGACCCAGAAAACAAGGTGAGAAAAGTAAAGCTGCATTCAGCTTGAATTGGATTGCTTGCCTTCATTTTTACTTAGAGAGGCACAAAGAATACCCAGAGGGTTAGCCAGTTTGATGGTTAAAAGCTCCAATGCCCTGACAGCGTGAGTTCTCCCACTGTTACTGTCTCTGCCAGCAGTCTAACGATGGGAGATTTCCTCAAGAATGCTACTGTAGACACAACCACAGTATAAATAGTTGGGCTGCTGCTCCTCTGGGAAAGCCAGTCATGCCAAGAACTGTCAAACCAACAGCAGCAGCAACCAAGGTGGACAGCTTTCTGCTTCTTCTTGTTCACAGTAGCGGTAGACAAGGTGCTGAGGATTAAACAGGTCTGTTATAGGGCTCGTGTTGCTGTAAGCAAACTTTTTCCTCTCATTTAAAATAACTGAAACAATCAAAACGGAAATTAAAGCAAATCCAAAGAACTGCATGAATGTAATATAAGCACCTCACACTTAAAAAGCATATGTAAGTACACACATAATTCCAGCAACCACAGGAACAGAGAAGTAGCTTTTGGGTAGCCAGACCCCCTTTTCTGTTCCATTTACTTCTTCATGCTCCCCAGAAGATGTAGCAGTCTGAAAAGGACAGGCTGAGGCTGAGTACAGGGAAAGGGTGTATGGGACAGATGGAGACTCATTCACCTTCAAAGCAGCCTCTTACCATAAAGACAATTCACAGCATTGCTTGAACTTTCAGCTTTTCTCACATTTAAAAGTTTTCCTTCAGCAAACCTTCTCCCTGCCCTGTTCTACAAGGTAGCAGTGCTGCCTTTCCATTTAGCAGTTGTGGAAAGTGCCAGGTTAAGCATTCTAGAAGCTTGAGTTGCCCATGGAGCCATAGACCAAAACCACCTCTGGCTCAGATTTCTTCTAAATTTCTGTTTCCACCTGAACTTCTTATCACAAAAGCGAATATTTGGTGATGCACTAGTGGACAGGCACTAATGGTTTCTTTGCTGTTTAAGAAAAACTGTTTACAGATGTAACAGAAGATAAATGACCTGATTTTCATTTCCAAGAAGGCTCATTTACAAATCTCGAGTAGTCTAATAGGGGTTTAAGTATAGTTTACACCAACTAGTTTCCACCAGATGACACAGAAGGATTAATAAACACAAAGAGTAAGTCTCCCACTCTATTATTTTATTTGCACAAGAAAATTATTACTTTTATGTTTGCTCGCAGTAAGTGCCAAGGATTATAATGTAAATAGAGCAGTAGGAAAGTACTTAAGGAAGATGTAGCAAATTCATTGTTTGCAGTGATTCTACTAAGTTTAAAACCAGACCTGGCAGTTAATAGGCTTTGATAGAATCATGTTTTTCGTTACACTGTTCCACATATTTAATTATCTGCTAATCCATCTCCAAGAAATCAATGAGCTAAACTAGAGAACCATTACCTGAAAAACATGACCAAGAGCCAAGTATTTGAAATCACTTATTGATACAAAACATAAGGCAGACTTCCAGCACAAGCAGTCCCTCGGGTTTAATCTTAAGATCTATAATGAAAAATCTCTTCTCTTTACCACTGTAGTCTTTCATCTCTTCCCAGGAGGGAGCAATCATCTTCCCAAACCCTCCCTTGTGGTGTTAATTGTCAAAAGGGAGTCTTTCTGTTGGTGCAGCACTGTAAGGCTAATGAATTAACTGGAGTAAAGATCATATCTAACAAAGACCAACTACTGAACTACAGCAGCGTACTGATTCCCAGCAATGTGCTCTGGGCAAATCACCTCCAGTCAAACCACCATCACTGAAAAGTTACTGTCTACTTTTCATAAAAACACAGTTTGTCACTAGCTCAAGAGACGCTGTTAAGTTAAAAAAGTTTCATATAAGGAAGCTAACTTCTCCTTACCTGAAACTGAACTGTTGCCCAAATCAGGGGTGGGAGATATATTAGGAAATTGGCACAGTTTTGGAGAAGGAGAAGACCTTTCTCTGGCAGGTAGGATGGAGTGGATTTGTTTTATCTGCCATTTGTGGCAAGCTGTGGAGAGGGAGGGGTGCTGGGGTAAGGCTAAGTTGACATTGTAGGCTTGCTGAGCCAGTTGAGATGGTCAGGATGATGAGAAAATATGACCTCCAACTATACAACTTCAGTTGCTGCATGCCCAACTGTTGACCTAATTACCCTGGCAAGTTTCCCTTGGCGGGGGAGAGAAGTTTGCCTCTGTAAAACCGAGCACAGTTACAACCAGCCATATTTAGACAGACCCTGAATGAAATGTTTGATCTTCTCCAGCATTCCTTTAGGGTTGGGATCTTTCTTGTCCAAGGCAGTCAAAAGGCATGCATTTACAAAGCCTCACGGTCAATCCCAAGCTTGCTTTCTCAGGAACTAAAACATTTTGGGTGAAAATTGCAAATCTGTGCGCCATCGGGACAGTATTTTCTGTTCTGCAAACTTCTCTGAGCCCAGAAACTGTTGCCCTAGGCCAGCAGCCAGCCAGGAAACTGGTCAGTTCAAGACACTAGCCTCTTCAACAAACTCAAAGCCAGTTCACAGCACTGGCTTGAGACCACAAGGAAGCCAAGAGGTGAGGCTTTACAGTAACAGAGTGGAAGTGGAAAAGAGGGTGTCTCAATTTTCAAGGCTTCCAAGAGACCTGCAGAGGCCATTGAGTAGCCTTTGTATGACTGTAGTTAGCAAAACAGAAAATAATTTATGGGTATATTCATGCTACAACTTTGTGCTGTAATAACTTGAAAAACTGATGAGTAAAGTTTTCAGAACCAAGTCTTTATTATGTTAGTGAAAGAGAAAATATTTAGCACTGATCAAGAATACCAGCTTTTGTGGTACAAAAAGAGCATTTCCTTAAATTTTTGCTCTCTCCTTAATAATAGCTGATAATTTTGAATGAGCTCTGCAGGCATATATACTTCAAACCTAACCAGTTTGTGCCAGGACACAACAGTCACTCATGAGAAGACCAGACTATCACAGTTCCAACATGTCCAGTCACCTGAAGTTCAGCAAGGGGCAAATTCTCCTAAAGGAACACATTTTTCCAAGCACCTCGGTGACTCAGGTTCCTAAGCAATTTCCACCCAGAAGATATGTAGATATAACAGGGCACACACATTTCAGTGTCATATCTCCAGAGGAGACTTTCACACTGTGATGCTGAGTGTTGAGCTGTTAATTCACTGAATGGAAGTCTTGATGCTGGTGTGAGCATTGAGGCCTTCAGCAAAGAGCTGCTTCAATACACAAAGAAACTGTCAGCAAGGAGCTGTCTAAGCCAGCCAACGGTGGAGTTCCAAGGACTAGCAGGCTCCTTAAATCACACCCACACTAGAAACCTGGCATTTTACAGAGGATGGCAATGAGGCATCTCTCTCCCTGCAGAAGTCATAGCCCTAAATCTTCTCCTCATATTTGGTACTTATACCTACCCATCTGGAGACAAAAAAGAAACAAAAACCAAAAAAACTGCCAAGAAATGAAGGTTCCACATCCCATTTTCATCCAATAACACTCCTCCAGGCCATGGAGTTGGTACCCACTTTAAAACTGAGTCCGTAATGTCCACTTCAGGCTTAGGTAGCTAATACTGCTGCTATACACCTGTATCTAACCCCTGGTACCCAAACAGCTTTAAAATCTGGACCTTAAGATCCCAAGTTTCTCAGAAGTCAACACAACTATGATTCCTATACCCTCTTTGATGATGGTTGTAAGGGTCCTAGGTCTTTTGAAGTGAAATTCTTTGACCTGAAATGAAAATATTTAGTCCACTATAAATATCTGGACTTCCCCTCTGATTGGTATATATCTCCAGAGATACCTTCAGGTATTCCATCCTATTCCAAACTATTTTTGAAGGAATTATTCGTCATTTTCGTTTGCTTCTGCTCTTAAATACATAGCTCTTAAATGTTTGCAGAGCTGCCCAGCAGAAGACTCAAAAGGAAATATATTTTCAAACAGGATTGTCTGAACTAAGGTGCAGTCAGGCTCATCAGTCCACAACTCCTGCATTAGAACTGATAAATGTTGGTGGAGTCTAACACAATGGCAATGGGATTTGAAAGTGACATTCAGCTTCTCGTGATTCTGTGCTGCCTGGCAATCACTGTCAAAGGAAGCAGAACTGGAGTGTTTTCTCTCAGCTGCTTGTATTTGCTGATAGCCCAGATATAGGAAAGAGAGGCATCAAAGAGCAAGGAAGGCCAAAATCCCCCCCATCCACAGCCACACACACATTTGGAATGCAGCTCAGCAGGGAGGCTCCCAAAATCATTGTTGGAAGAACAAAGGCAAGTTTTAGATGACAGACATTTCAAACAACAGAAAAGTTTGAGGAGACCAATAAGAATAACAATTAGAATGGGAAAGGATTAAGTGGCCAACAGAAAACAACAAAAGGAAAATTAACATCTTTTCAAAAATCACAAAGCAACTTCAAAAGCAGGGTAAGAACAATGAAAACCCCAAATTATGCACAGTTTAGCAGCAAAGCTCACAAAGAAATTAAGTGACTCCTGCAGAGAAAGGGTGTGGGGGGATCCTATAAAATTACCAAATTCCACACAGGATAAAAAAAAAAGAATTCTCACACACATAGCCTGGTAGGCAGCCAGTACCACTCAGTGCCATGATTATTGAAGGCCAAATTCTAAAATGCATTTCTAATTCCAATAGTTTTGCAAAGGGGAATGTTAGATAATGAAACAATATTACCGAAATCCAATTGGGGTTAGCAAGAACTAGTCAACTGTGCCAACTAGTGACACAGCACAATGTGTTTGTGGTAACACCTTGCTTTTGTGCACTCATTACCTAATGAAACTTCAACAATTTGGGATGAAAGTGTGTATGACAAGCACTAAACTCAGGTGAAATTCTGTCTGTTGTATGTTTTGAAATGTTCAGCCAAAATCATTGTGATGTTTCCCAGAATAAGATTTGCTGTTGATTGATAACTTCTCTCACCCCTTAAAGGAAAAACTCTAATAAAATTTCCTCTGAAGAACTTCACTACTGGTATAGCATGGGAAAGGATGTTAAAATTTAGCAGAAGCCTAAAACTTAGCCTGTGTTATGGCTTTACCTTCTGCCATAAAAGTCAAAGTGAATTTTATTATAAATCTTAGAGAAACCACACTTCACACATCCTTAACAGTGACTTTCTCAACTTCAGCAGCTAATGATTCTGGCAGTCCTTCTGAATCTTCCTTCTTCCCTGAGCCCATTCATTCCACAGCTCTTAGGATTGTTCAGGCTGTAGCTAAAACCAGGGAAAACCTGCAAAAGCTGTATTTGGCTTTTCCAGACTAGCATGAGGCAGGGAACTGGACCTGAGAGTGGGAAATTCTTTTGCCACATTCTGATGCTGTCTCTGCTGCCATCCAATAGTAGTGTGACT